GGAAAGGCAAAGGCCTGATGGAGTAAGCTTGGGGTGGAGAAGAGGCTGTTTTTGTTGATTCAAGGTGGATGAGTCAGAGAAGGAGGTCTGGAAAGAAACAAGTGTCAGGACTTCCTGAAATCTAGAAAAGCACTGCAGACCATCAGGAGGGTTCCTTTAATTTTAAGCTCAGCTATATTCTGTGTGTACATATGCCAGAGTGGTGGGTGCCAGTAAGTAATAATCCTGCAGAGCACAAGGTGGATTTCTTAGGGGGAAGAGTGGTGATTGACGTTTTTCCATTTTTTCCTTCTTGATGGACTTTCCTTTTGGTTGTTTTATTTTGATTACTTGTGGCTGGATGCAGCTGCCTCTAGAGTACACCAGTATTATTCCTGAAGAAGCTGGGAGGGCATATCCTCGGGAAGCAGACCTCTTCTCAACAGTAAGTTTATTGCCTCCGCAATGGCCCTGATCTTTGTGAGCCTGGGAAACCAAAGCTGGACTTTTACGTACCACTATCCACTTTGCTGTTCTTAAACAACCAGGTAGATTTTAATGCTTATAGTGACTTTTCATAGACTGTCTTCCAAGCCAATAGTTGCATGCACAGAGGATGGCACTTGTGGTATCATAGAGATACAAAAGTAATCGCTACATGTGAAAGAATTCACTTGTGAATTAGTATCCTGCATATTGGCATGAGTTGAAACCTTATTGAATTGTTATGGGAAACTGCATTACCTTAGAAAATGATCCTTATGGATCAGAGTGTTTAAATGTGCTTTATCGTACGGGTGCAGACGGTGGAGCTCAACCTCAAGGTGGCTGGTTGTGAGTAACTTGGTCAGCAAACCTACGTCTAACTGCAGATATTGGATGCGTTTCCCAGGTGACTTGCTATAACTAAGAAGTTGAGGGGTTTTCATTGTTTTCGCAGTTCGTGAGAGGGATAAGAGCATCTCTGAAGTTGCTTTGTGTCTGTTGAGTATATGCTCTCCACCTCTGCAAATGTTACATTTGGGGCTTGTGTTGGTTTCCTAGACCCAGAAAGTTCGGAGCTGGCTGTCTTCTGTGTGTCAGCAATCCAGCTGAATAAAATACAAAAGATATAGTTAGTATCAAAGGTGAAAAAAGGCTGGATACTAGCATGTGCAGATTTAGCAGTCCTGGTGGCTGAGTAGTGCAGAAAGGTTACACTGAAACTGCAGGGAAGAAGGTTTCTCTCTCGTGTTCTGGCAAAAGCCTCACTGATTTCTGTGGGAACTTTCCTTCGTTACAGAAGGCTGCGTGTTTCACCCATTATTTTTATTCTGGCAGTTTCCCTGTAGTACAGTCTGTCTTTCAGAGCAAATGGTGTATCTGTGCGCAGTCTGAGGGCTGGACCAGCCTGGCTAGCAAGTGTCCGTGTACCCAGCGTGTTGTACAGGAGCTGCTAATGCCCGTGCAGACCCTGTGGCAGGCACTCAGCTCCCTCGAAGTGGCTTTACCAGACTCACTAAATGGTGACATTAAAACAATAAAAAATCTTATTGGGTGCTTTGCTGGGAACAGCCAGTACCTTATGCTTTGTTCACTGTCATTGCGGGGGGGGTTGGACTAGGTGACCTTTAAAGGTC